AAATGAGGGAAGGTCTTAAAAAGTGCTTTGAAACATACTGTAGGCCGAAGAAGAAAGTGTTGATATAGTAGGTGCAGGAGAATTACTTTTTGACCAGTTAAATAACTTCCTGGATGTTGTTGGTGCTTCTCTTCATTCAAGACTGGGCAGTGGTTGTTTCTTCACCTCCAATTTGCTTGCCTGTGCTGGGGAGAAGCTAGCCTGGGATTGCAATTTGGGGAGCAGTGGGAGAACAGAAGTATGAGTGGGCAGAGATTGAAAACAAAGTTTGATGCAGAAAATATCAGGTTGACCTATATAATGTGTTGACTTCTACCAGCAACTTCTGCCAGATAACCAGTTTTATGTATATGAGGAATTATAACAAATTAGGAAGGCAGACACATTACTAGAAAGGTTGGGTTAAACAAGCAGAATTCAAAATTAAGGATATACATAAAGCTATGTACATCAAGTCAGTTCTTGGCTTTGAGTTTATAGTTTAAAAAAATTATATAAGAAAGACAATATCTACAAGCCAATCTCAATGAATAAACAGCAGGATAAAAACAACCAGAACAATTAAATCAATCATTTTATTATTAGCCAATAAGTAGTAATTTAGGATGTTCATTTGCCCAGAGTGATCTTGTGGGGATGAAAGGAGGATATGAGGAACAGCAGGGAGTCTTTGCCACACTGGTTTGTTCTTGGCTGAACATTAGAATAACCCACAGAGCTTAAAAAACATATATGCCAGGGCCCACTCTGGCATGATTTAATTTGTCTGGGATGGGGACTGGATGTTTTGCTTTTTAAAGTTCCCCAAGTGATTTTAGTGCGCCTGCAAATTTAGAAGATCATGGAAAGAGAAAGTGAATTATTGGACTGGAAATCACCAGTCAGCCTGCTTTCCAGGAGCAGGGAGCTGTGGTTTGGAGATTAATAAAGAGTCTTTGAATGCACAATGGGAAATCATAATTTGATTCTACAGGCAGGGCCCAGCAGGAAATAAAGCAATGGGAACGGTTGTTGAAAAGTTCTGAGCCTAGCACCTTCTTGTAAGAGCAGTTTGTTGAAGAACAAAAAGGGACCTTGGTGACATCATTACCAGCTCGTATTTCACAATAATACATGGTTTTAATACCTTATTTGGGGCCGGCTCCGTGGCTTAGCGGTTAAGTGCGCGCGCTCTGATGCTGGCGGCCCGGGTTCGGATCCCGGGAGCGCCCCGAGGCACCACTTCTCCGTCCAACGCGAGGCCGAGTCCCACGTACAGCAACTAGAAGGATGTGAACCTATGACATACAACTATCTACTGGGGCTTTGGGGGGAAAAAACTGAATAAATAAAATCTTTAAAAAAAAAATACCTTATTTATTGCGTTTATAAAAACCAGTATTATTCTGCATGAGCAACAGATTTTATTGTGAAGGAATTTTGACCATTTTTAGTAATCAAATCCATGCTTCAAGTTGAAGGGTTGCCCATTGAGAAGATTCAAGAGAACATACTGCAGTTATTACCAACAGAAAACATGTCATCTGCATAAAGGGTTTCTAAGCCCTGGGTGCCTGTTGCATTAGGACTGTTGAGTAGTTTACTCACCTAGTCACCCAAGCAATTACGTATTGATTAAGACTGAGGCAAGTACCATAGAGTCATTAAGAACTGAAGAGAAGCCAGTGAACTTCACTCATCTACTGTGAAGACTTGTAAAGAAGGTGATGGAATGCCTATTGGAAGTAGGCTGAGAATAAACTCAAGAGGGAAAAAGTAGTATTTTCTCCAAACTTTACATAGGTATAAAGCAGCAATTTTCAGAAGTTAGTGAGAAAGAGAGGGAGAGGGAAAGAGGGAAAATGTGTGTGTGTGTTTGGGCATTTAAGTTTGAATAAAAATATTGGCAAGAGGAGGATCTGAAAAAGGCAACGATGTTGAAAACTCATTAGCAAGAGCAAATTAACCTTAAAACTGTATAATACAAAATATTTGACTATGATCCCCACATTAACACTTTCTGCCTCTTCTAAGTAGTCTTGGAGCTTTATCACCTTACCCCCAGCCCCCACCCCTCCATAAAGCCCTCCCTCTGATTTTTAGTCACATTTAGGATGTCAGTGACTTTGAAACCTAAGGAGTTACCCTTCCTTTGAGGTTGGCATAACTAGGGACAGTGTCCTAAAATGAAGATGGGAAGTTGTAACCATGGACAAGCCAGTGGGTGAGGGGGGCTTGAGGATCTGAGGCTGCCTTCTTTCCCTCTCCCATCAATAACATGTGGTCCTTAAGCCTGCTTGTTAAATTAGACATGGGGAGACACCAAGATAGAAGTGCAAATCTGCTTACCCTCTTCACTCAGCTAAGAGTAAATCTAGAAGTTTTCTTCCTCAAATAAAGCTTGTAGTTGTTGAAAGGACATGGAGTGCACAGGGAGCACCAGGAATTCTTGGGAAATGAGAAATGCATGTATTAGTGTTCTCCAGAGAAACAGAACCATCAGGATATATATATATATATACACGAGGAGATTTATTATAGGATTCACTCATGCAATTATGGAGGCCAACAAGTCCCATGTTCCACCATCTGCAAGCTGGAAAACCAGGAAAGCCAGTGGTGTAATGCATTCCAAGTCCAAAGGCCCAAGAACCAGGAGCACCTATGTCCAAGGGCAGGAGGAGATGGATGCCCCAGCTCAAGGAAAGAGCAAATTCGTCCTTCCTCTGCCTTTTTGTTCTATTCAGGCCCTCAACGGATTGGATGATGCCCATCCACCTTGGTGAGGGCCATCTTCTTTACTTAGTCTACTGATTCAAATGCTAACTTCTTCTGGAAACACCCTCACAGACACACCCAGAAATAATGTTTTACCAGCTATCGGGCATCCCTTGGCTCAGTCAAGTGGATGCATAAAATTAACCATCATAACACATAAATATTCTGGCGTTTACGAATTCCCTCTCCTTTGGCCTCTCTTATATACTTTAGTTCAGCATCTATCACTTCAAATACCCTGTCCAGAGCAGTAGCTATAGAATTCCTAGGTGAGGAGATGAAAAGCAGTCAATTCCCACCTGAGAGCCTGAGGGGCCAGCCTAGGTCCTTCCTTTACAAGAAATGTTTATCAACAAGGATACTTGACATTTATAATCCACTTTATCCAGTTGCTCATTCTGTTCCCCAGTAAGTTAGCTAACAGGGTGATAACCTCTTGTAGTTGCAGGGTCTCTCCCACCCTAGCATATCTCTCAGCCCCATCAGCCTACTGGCCACTGGAGTACCCGTAAGAGAGTCCACAGCCTGTGCTGCTACAGCAGCCTTGTCCTCGTGCCCTTCTTGTTTTCTTTCTGGGAAGTGTCCTCTAATCCCCCCCATTGACTTCCCTCCTGCTGTATCCACTACCAGTTTTTGTGGCCTGTGTTTGTAGGCTTGGCAATTATAAAAATGTTAGTACAATGAAGCCTGTGCATTTAAACTCTGAGTTGAGTAGCTTTGCGACAGTGAACTGAACAGGCACTCTCTGGCTGTAAGGGGTGAAAGTGTGGCTAGCTATGTGAAAATCCACCCTCTGTGAAGGGGAATCGTGAAATGGATGTGCTACAGTGGTGTCTTACTGTGTAAAAAGGAAAGTAGTTATTATAAATAGTGTAATGTTTAGGAAGGGAATTAGTTTTAACTGCTTTATACTGAAAAGATGGCTCAAACCCTTGGGATTAAACTAGCCTCTCATTTCCACCTCTAGGAAAGAGGGAAGATGGCTGATGATCTATAGGTCAGAAGGTGTGCTCTGAGATGTGTCTCACTGGTGGGAATGAATTTACCTGGATATGTCAAGCTCTACTTGCCTGGTCCCCCTAATAATGTGGACATGGTATTTACAATCACGGGGCAGCCTGTGGCCAGAGAACAGAGGGAAGGAGAGCCCTGACTTTTGGGAACATAACCTTCACTAGCCTGTAAGCTCCCTGAGGACGGTACTAAGTCCGTGAGATACTCCTTCTGTGCCTAACAGAGAAGGTATGTGATGATTGTCCTTCTGCATATGGCTCTCTAAGCACATGTCTGTCTTGGGCCGATAATGCACTTTATTACCAAGTGCACTGGAACACAAGGGTACCAGTCTAGGGTGGTTCTGTGGCAGGTCTGTCTCTGCACAGGGTGATAAGCCTTGGAGATTTCTGTCTTAAGATAGGGCCTAGTCATTTAGGAAGACAAAGTAGACATTATTTTGAGGATAATTACAAGGACTTACCCTTTGGGGGTAACTACCTTTGTTGAGTGCCTACTATGTGGTGTTCTCACTGTTCTCATCTCATTTGATTTTACAGCTGTGGAGTATGCATTAGAAGAGACAGAGTGAAGCTCAGAGAAGTTAAATAGATTGCTCACAGTCACAGCTAGTGAATGGGGATTTTGGAATTTAAACTCAGGTGTATCCAACTGCAAAGCCCACCGTCTGCCTGAGCGGTACCTGCACACAGCAGGTGCTCAGTAAATATTCGTGGAATGAATGCGTGAACTTCCCCCTCCCCATCTTCTCCATCAGCCTACCCTGGCCTCTCCCTGGTTCCTCCTCTGACTTGTCCTGATGTTTCAAAGTGACATTGACCTACATTTAAGGGTTTTGGAAGAGGCTGCTCTTAAAATGCAGCGCACCTTTGCAGGGAGGAACAGTTTGGCCCTCTTCTGACACATTAGCCCATATCACTTCTCTATCATCCAAACCAATGCAAAGGCCTGGAACTGGTCCAGGTAAATTTGGGTTGGGAAGGGGGAGAGTGGGGAGGTGAAGACTGCAAAGGAGTGAGGGAAGGGAACCGGCCAGAAGAGTCTGGAGAGACAATTACTCTTGCAAAATTTTCAAAAGGTCGGGCACCGTTTTCCCTTGGGATACCCAATACGTATTTGCAGAATTAACAGAAATCAAGCGCACAGTTCACGACCCTGCATTGTTTGGGACTTTAGGGCAGGCCATCCCAGACTGAGGGGCTCTAACGAGCATATCCGCTAGGGCCACTTTGGAGGCCCCGGAGTGGCCCCGGCCGTCCCCGCAGGAGGGCAGGATCTCGGAGGCCATTGGCTGGCGCGCTGGCTGCGGAGGGGCGGGGAGCGCCGCCAAAGGGACTGTTTGCTCCTACGGGCTGTAGATGGAGCTGTCCGGCCCCGGCGAGGGGGAAGGCGCCTGGAAAACGTTCTTCTTCTCCCTGGCCGGCCCGAGCGGGGAACAGCACTCCCAGGATGCAGTTTGTGTCAACACGGCCGCAGCCTCAGCAGCTGGGCATCCAGGGCCTGGGGCTGGACAGCGGGAGCTGGAGCTGGGCCCAGGCTCTGCCCCCGGAGGAGGTCTGCCACCAAGAGCCGGCACTGCGCGGGGAAATGGCCGAGGGAATGCCGCCCATGCAGGTGGGTGCAGCCCCCGCCCAGCGCCATG